GTTTGAGTTAGGTTTGCTTGGGGACAAGCAAACGGTTAAGTGTGGGGGAGTTTGATAGACCGATAATTATACATGTTTTCACCCCTATTCTGAAGCCGTTTGTGATGAGGAATCTCGTGTTTTAAGACGATTTCACGCTAGGTTGTGTGTTTATGTCATATTTCAGGTCCCGACGTTGGAATCGAGGCGGAGAAACGAGTTCTGGGTCGAAAGGAGCGAAGTTGGGACAAAGTGGGCTGAAGGAGGAAAATACCCGGTCAGGTGGCCAAATACCCGACCGGGTATTCATCACTTTTGAGCGCCCGAGAAGCAGAGAGGGGCCCGGGCAAAACAGCAAAATCCCCGGTCGGGGATTATGGCGAGTGACCGGGGATTCTTCCCTTAAGCGAAACGGTGCGCTGCGATAATACCCGGTCGAAACCCAAAATACCCGACCGGGTATTTCGACCGGGTATCGCGACCAGGCAGTCAATTTAAGGAGAAAGAAGGCCAACATTGAGGGGTTCCGAGTTTTTGAGAGAGAAAGCGATACCTAGAGAGAGAAAGCGACGAACCAGAGTTCCCAAGCGTCATAGATCGATCTTCAACACCATTGGAGCCCGGCTTGAGCTTGGAGAAGTGCGATTAAACGTCCAGGAGCAGAAATCCCTCTTCACAGTATGATTTCCGCGTCTGAATCTGCTTTTGCTTCTTTCTCTATGGAGTAGTTCCCCCATTCATCTGGGTATCGGGAACCCTATATTTGTATGCTAGGTCTGATTGTATGAACCCAAGTACAGAGTTTGTGAATTGATTATATTCGATTGAGGTTTGAATGATTGAATGACTTGAATCCTGATCAAATTCCTGTTGTTTCTGCTTTGACCTAGAATGAGAATATCTGCCTAGGTTGATAGAGTACCCTTAATCGAAGGTGGCGAATTGGTAAATTGCAATCCGACTTAACTACAGTCTAGGGGGAACCATATCCGGGTGACCTCTCTTGACTTGACAACAACCGTTTATTTGCTTTGTGTTTTGTTTGCTTGAGTTGCACTAAAAGTTCACCGCTAAATAACAAGAATTCACCGAGTAGTCATCACATCTAGGACCCGGGTTGGCAATAAAACCCAAACCCGCTATACTACGCTTTAGGAAGTGGTTGCACTTGGCCATTTTCTAGAGTGACAGTAGGAGTGAGTCACCTGCTAAGACAATCAGCAACACAGTCCCTCAAGCCCAAAGCTTCAAGCACATATGGATCTGAAATATCATACAACTCAAATATCATTAGTTCAAATATTTCATATTGAATTGGAGTACTGAATATGCAGAAGTTATATAGAATTCTTAAATTAGTATTTATTTTTGAAACTATTATGAAATAATCATATTCATATCTTTGTCTAAACAATATGGGATTTTTTCTTTGAACATTTTGGTTTGGAAAACCGCTAAATTGTAAACCTCTTCCTATTCTTACATGATGGACCCGACAAAGTATACGAGGCTGAGTGTAATAAATTGGTTTATTTCAAATTTTTTTAATGTGCTAATGAATTTGTAGGGCAAGGAAATGTCTACATACACACTCTACAAAATATATAATACTGGAATGAGAAAATAATACTCTCATTTCAAATTTTCTACAACAAGAGCGAAAGTAGGAATGATATTTTTGCTTCACAATTATTTATTAGAAAATAGGCAAGTATTGGATTGAACTCATGTATCTTCAAACAATGACAAGAGTCATAACCATAATTGTCAATTCGAGTTGAATTAGTCAGTTGAACCAATAATGCTCAAACCCGAGTATCTCACCTGGCTCTGAACTCTCAGTTGGTTATCTAATTGGGCTCAGTTAAACCCAGGAAAAGCCAATCAAATTGATAAATCCAACCGATTCTACAAATTGGTTTGAGCACTAGGCCACTTCAAAATGAAGTCGTTTTCAAAAATCATATATGTAGTTTCGTCGTCATGTCGTGACTTTTCTTATAACATACCCGTACATCAGTGAGGATCAACAATCCCATCGTCTGTTCTATTTCATTTAGCTTTGACAGGAAACAATACGAGTCTCAACCATCTTAGAAGACTTCATAATCTCTCCGTAGCCAATTCCATTTTTCTTCTTGCCGCACATTCATTAAGCCAATCGACGTCATCTCATGCAAAGAAAAAAAAAATGAACATGCATTTGGACTGATACTTTGTGCGAGTGTAACAACAGAAGCCAAGTTCCTCAATTTGTATATGCTCTTGAAATTGAATCCGAGAAAAAATGTAAAAAAATATTGAGAATGGAATATAAGACCTAGAAATGTAAAGAAGGAAAGAACGTATAGAAAAGGAAAAGAAAGAGGGAAGAGTTTGAGAATTAAAGCGTCACTCCAAAATGGAGAAATAAGTATAAAAAAAGTATCAATAAATTCAATTCATCCCATGGATGAATTATATTAAAATGTCATTGGACCTATGTTTATCATAAATATCTAAGCACCATACAAGTGGAACAAATAAATTTTTTCATATATCTCGGTAAAGCTTGTCTAAACGAAGGTAATTCAATTCGACCATCGACCCTTAATCCACTTGCTTGAAGGATTCAACGATTGAAATCGAGTTTGCAACTTTGGCCATAACTAATAACACTAAACAAGTTTGTTGTCTATTTATATATCTACAAAATATATGATAGTGGAGTTGACGCTAAACATGTGTACTTGGAGGAATTCGAAAAAGATTTGCAATTATTTTTAGATGAAGCGGGAATTATGCATGAAAATTCATGAATTAACAGATGCGGCGAAAGAAAACGAGTGATTGTTTCACCCCAAAAAGACGTAGATATGATGAGTGAGAGTGTAGAAGCACAGTACTCGCCATGGTTCACCGAATGAGTGGGTAATCTAAAGTAACTTTAATGCTCTATCAATATTTTGAATATACAATTATCTCGAAACAGATGTTCTCCCACTTTCACTCTCACTTCCACTCCCAACCAATGAATGGGTTATCTAAAGTAATCCGGCCAATGGGTCGGGGCAAAAACTAGTATATATAATAAATAGATGCTAATAGAAGAGTAGTTGGCATTAGTGATGACTCGATATTTACAAATGTTTTTGTCCATCATTCTTATATTGTTTGAGGCTCGGATCTCGGGTTTTAAGCCGATTTTAAGCTAGGTTGTTTTTGTTTGTGACATTTCAGGTCCTAATGCGTGAATGAAGGTTTGAGCACGAGTTTGAGGTCGATTGGGCAAAATCGGGACGAGCGAGGGAGATCGAACAAGTTGCACGGCCGGGACGGGAAAGCGCACGGTCGTGCATGGCTGCCTTTTTGGTCGTGTGGCTTTTACCGAGAAGCTGCACCTGCACGGCCTAACCTTGTTTCTCGCACGGCAGTGCAAGATGAATTGGTGGCCGTGATGATTTTTGCGAGAGAGCTGCACGGCCAGACTCTCGGATTGCACGGGCCGTCCAATGGCCATGCACTCCCCTGCCGGAATTAATTGAAACGATGCGTTTTGGGGTGCACGGGCAGACTAGGAGGTTGCACGGTCGTGCGGTCTGGATGTGCAATCGCGGCCAGCTACTTGTTAACCCAATTTCGGGTTTTGGAGAAAGAGATACGACTTTTTGAGCAAAACAGAGTTCTAGAGAGAGAAAGTGCGAAGAACAAACCCTGGGAGCTAATTTGGAGTGGATTTCTCACCATTGAAGCCCCATATTGCATCCTCAGGAGTGAAGATCGACATCCCATAGCAGATTATTCCCATCTTTATGAGTACGACTGCTTTGAATTCTGTCTTCCTCTCTCTCTCTATGGAGTAGACCTTTCTCTCACTTGGGTATGAAGAACCCTAGTTCCATGTGTTATGGATTTGAGTTGTAATGACTTTTGGATTGCTATACTGTTTGATTATAATCAATTGAAGTGTGTTTATTGAGTCAATTGAATTCTGATTAAATTCTCTTGATTTCTGCTGCAACCTAAGATAGATATAATCTGATTAGGTTGTTAGAGATTCTTCAATTGATAGGAGTGGATTGATTATACGAGAGTTAGTCAATCCATTGCTTTGTACTGGAATCCAATTCCAGTAGTGGAGTTCTGTGTTAACTGCCTTAGCTTTCTATCCCGGTGAAGACTAGTCGTCTGGCGGTTAGTCTATCTAAGAGGGCTTGGTTAGCTTAAGAGATTCCAAGCTACTGTCGGATCTTCCGCAGTTTAATCACAGCAAATCAACCTAAGGAAATTACAACTTGGACTTAACTAAGGAGCTAGGATTCCCGAGTGACTCTTCTCTTGCATTACAGAAACCAGACAATTTACTGCTTTCTTTCTGCTTTACTTTGAATTCAACTTCACCCACTTAGTCCCTCTAGATAATAGATAATCATGGAGTAGGCAGTATATCTAGACCTCGGGTTGATAAATTAAACTTACCACTATTCTGCATTTCCGGACTGCGATTATACTTGGCCGTAGTTTGGTGTTGTGTCATAGCGTGTCAAGTATGCAACCAAACTAATAACTTTCTTTTTATTACCAAGGAAAATCTCCATGCACACACCATATTTTACGATGGCGGAGCTGGACCAAATTTGAGGGCTACCTACTGCAACTTTTATATGCCAACAGGAATTCGCTCCCAGCACCAGACACCTATGAGAATACCACACGAGGCTTCAAGAGAAATCGAACCCAGGACCTTACGCATTACTGGACGACCTGCCAGAAGATCCACCAAAGCCATGTAGATCAAAAGACCAGCTATCGAAGCATTCAGGAGTCCACTGATGATCAAAAGCCCAGCTACCGCGATGTTCCGCTAGACTATCTTACCATTTACAAGTGCAACCAAACTAAAGAACTGGAACAATAAAAAAATGTAGAAAACTAGGCAATACAAAAACTACTTCACAAAAGGAAAATCAACAAAACTCATTTTGTTACAATAATCTAAGTCCTAACGTAAATGGAAATTGGATGTAGCAGAATTTGATTGTTCAAGCCCACTTGGCCATGAGAGACATCCCTCCGGCGCCCAGCAGAACGACGACAAACGATTTCAACTGCAGGCTTATACTGCCCTGCATCTTTGGGCCCATGAAATCGCCGGCCAGAAGATCCACCAAAGCCATGTAGATCAAAAGCCATGCTGTCGAAGCATTCAGGAGTCCACTGATGATCAATGCAGTCGGGCTATTCTCTTTGTAAGTCTTGGACAATCCAAGCCCGACCAATATCCCAAACGGAGTTGTTGTGGCGAAGAAGAACGCCATTATCATCCTTTTAGCAAAGTTGTAATCCGCCTTCATCATAAACATAAATTAATCGATTAGTCACACTGTCTATTTTCCTTGTTATTTTACCATAATAATATATGTATGTATTCTTCAGTTTTCTTTCTGCTTAGTTAAGGAATCTGTTCATACACTTCCCTTATTTTATATTTTCTTGTTGTTCACACATATGAATACTGGATAGCGATGAGTCGGGTTTGGTTTTGAGGTGATTTCTCTAAATCATCCTCATTATCACTTTTAAAAGTCAAACTCATACCCGCCTCTATAATCATGTGGGGATGTTTTGCAACCTTATCCCCATACACACAGTTTTCAGATATCCGGGGTAATGTCTGTCATGTATATTCAATATTACTATACCTAGTATTCAACATGTAGATGTTCAATTATAACATTAAATGCACATAATAAATCATGAAATCAATAAAGATACAACAATTCTCTACACGAATTCAAAGATCCCATACTAAAATATTTATGAATTCATAAGACAAAGTACAATACTACCCTAATCATTCATCTCTCACCTCGACACATCTTCAAAGTAATAAATAGGTAACATAATCTTGTTAACAAAGGGAAAATAAGCGAGAGGATGAAGGGCGAATTGCAGGAAAGAAATTAGTGTTTAAATTTGGGTGGCCGTTCAATTAAAGTTCAAATCTTTTTTTTTTTTAATTACGATTCCTACCATTGGAAGGTTACAATACTACCCCATGTATTTTTAGTATATAAAGAAATAATCTTTGTGGACCAGTTATACGTTTGGATATGGGTCTGGAGAGGGTAAATTAAAATCAAACTTGTCTCATCTCCATTAAACCTTTTGTGGGGTTTACCATACCTAGCCAATACTAGAAATCTTCACATTAATCAGGCCAGGTGCGATCAGTGGCGGATCCAGAAACTCTACAAGGGGTCTCCTCTTTAAAAAATTAAATTAAATTAAATAAAATAATTAAATAAAATAATTATTAAATATGAAAATATCTAACTATTAAAAGTTCAAACGTGTTTCGTAAAATGGTAAAATACATCCGTGTCTATACAGCTCAACAAATATCTCTCGGCATATCCTATTAGACAAGGGTATCCCGTAATTGGGTTTAATCGTTAGGTTTTGAAAATAATTTGCGATAAGAATAACATTTTACTATTATATTTGGATCTAAAACACAATAATAAATTTGTTGTAGTGTAATTGAAAATATGTTTACTGATAGTGATAGTGTTCCCAAGTTTAAATCACATAGACTACTACTTAAATATTATTTATACCAATAAGCAAACTACTACGGGAGGTTAGATAATCCTTTTCCCAAATTTTAAGGGTGTCCCACAACCACTTAAACATTTTTTTGCCGATGCACAAATTACTATCCGAGGTTGAATAATCGTGTTTCCAAGTTTTAGAGTGTCCCGAGACACCCCTAAACATGCATGTATCCGCCACTAGGTACGATATGATACTTGTGAATTTGATTGCTATATGAACTCACCCATGAAAAAGGCTCTTATATGTGAACTAAATCACTAATAAAAACGAAAATAAATCGATGAAAGATAGTTTTTTTATATGAAGACAAAGCGATGGAAAAAATGTTGTTACCTGGAGGATGCAACCACCAAGGCCCATCCCTTCGAACATTTGGTGGAAACAAAGGGCGGCCACTAACCCTTTGATTGTGCACGTGTTGTTCGACGCTTCTAATGATAATCCTATCAGCGCCGAATGAAGAACTATTCCCAATTCCAATACATGCAAAAACATTAATGAAATTGTACCATTAACTGAAAAAACCTCAATTTCTTTTCCGCATAGATTTTTTCGTAGAAAATAACAGAGATATGACAATATACAAAACCTTTGCAGACCAAAACACTAAATAAAACTAAGAAAAAAACGTTGGTTGTACACGTGTCAACTAAAAAGACTCAATTGAGAGTACATGAAAACCATTATACGTGAATAGTTGATGAAATCTCGTGAAAAAACTAGTCAAAGTACCGCATGAATGTAAGTGTACATCATTTGCTTACCAAGGCAATAACTTTGTAACGCATCCGCTGTTGACCATCATCGCCAGCGGCTGAAACTTTCATCCCATAACCTTGCCCATGATGAAAATGGCTGCCACCACCTTCACCGTTACTCTCCAAATCCGCTCCACCCACCTCAACGAAATCGTTCCCCGCCTCGCGATCTCCCTCAGCCGCAGCAACAACATCATCAGTCGGTGGTGGCCTGTCCACCCTGCTGGTGTAAATGCTCGTAGCCACCGAATCCACCATAAGTGTCACCAGAGTCGACAGCATGGCGGCGAACCCGGTTAAGGGGAACTTGTGCCAGGGATTCTCTGGCAGGCGATGACAACATGTCGAAGGAGTCCGGCAACACGTGCATTAACCTGGTGTCCAGTATGATCCCCGAGGCGAAAGCCTTCACGATCACGAAAGGGCTCTTCTCCGGGTCCAGAGCCGACACTGATCGGGTTGCGAGCGGGAGGCACACGCCGATGATGTTCTCCGCCAGGATGGCGGAGGCGGCGATGATTTTCAGCGGCAGCAGGGCACGTGAATTTTTTATGCACCCATTTGTCATCAAGGATGATTCATGGTCCCCACCGCAGGTGTCCTGCCCCATGGACGAGGCGGCGACGGAGATGAGTTTCGTCATCATTGTGGTGAGTGAGATGATGAGTAGGGTTGGATTTGCTCTGGCCTCCATTATGGACTTGGGGATGAAGATTGTTTTGGATACATAGCAGTACGGAGTTGGAGGTATTATACAGAGAGGCTGCGGAGGAGAGAAAACGACGGGGGGAATGTGTCGGGTTGCTAGTTGTGATGGACTTTTTTGAGGTTTGAATGTGGAAAACGATTGAACGAATTAGTTGCCACAAGCTGGAATATGAGGTTAGTGGGGGCGGACACGTGTGTGGAAGCACACGTGGCTGGTAGAATGGCGCACCATCTCATAGAGAAATTTTATCTTGGGAGGAGGTCGAGTTTGCAAACGCACAGGTCCGAGACCATGTGCTTAATAGAGACATATGGGGTTATTCGAACAAAGATCTCTCGATTACAAAAGGCTCTGATACCATGTGAAGAACCAGTTAGTCTAAATAACTCGAGTTATTGAGAGGATTTCAATTGTGTATCATATATCATTTATTAATGCATGCACCCCCTCAAACTCAAGCCACTAAGATGGTCTGGAGTTTGTACAGCTACACAGGCACAAATCTGGATACACAATGTCCTTAACTTAATATATGAGGATTATCGAGATTCAAACAGAAAACCCCACTATTACGAAAGACCCTAATATCATGTAAAAATTCAGTTAATCTCAATAACTCGACCTGCACACTACATGGCAGCAAGTCAGCAACAACACACTTGATTCCATCTCCCAACACCTCCTGTCACTAATGTTATATATCATTCGCCCCAACAAAACCCTTTTCCTTCACCGCCACCTTTAGCTTTAACTCTTCCTCGACTCCCTGGTCGTTACTCCCACAGCTCGACTCAGCGTCAGCCAATATCGCAGCGGTCTCGCCTCCCTTGTTCCCCTGCAGCTTGTGCTTGCCAACATGCTCCAGGACCTGTTCCAGATTGCTCCGAAGCAAATTCGCCGTTGCCTCATTGGTCTGCGCCACACCCCTCCAAATTTGATTCTCGACACACAGGCTTCTGACTTTCTCTTGGAGATCACAGTTCCGCTTCCCTAGCCTCTGAATCTCGTCGTCTTTCTCCCTCAATCGCTTTACAATCCCTTCCTGTATCGCTTCCACCATCATTCTAGATTGCCTCCTCTGTCTCTCTTCTAATTCTATCCTCATTCTCAGCGTCTGGTGATCACAAATAATAATAATATAATAATAATAATAATAATAATAATAAAGCAGATAATCATAATCCAATCCCGTTTGAGCACGTACAAGAATCACATAATTAAAAGGATTTTTCCAAAATACCAGCCTTTCTATAAAAAGTTGTCAACTTACAAACACTTACCATAAAACGTCCCAAAATATACGAGTTTCACGTAGTTCGCTAGAGTGTCCAATATTCTAGATACTAGTTCGTTGGATTATATAGTGAATTAGTGTGGATTGCCGCCGACAAAAGTGAACTAGCCTCGAACCAGCGATTTAGCCCCCAAATTGTAAATTTGTGCTTGGTCGAATAACGAAGCACAATTTGTTTTGTCTCTAAAAGTTATGCCGAATCAAAAACAATTTTACTATGATTGGATAATCGATCACAAAATTAATATCATTTAAAGTATACGTATTATGATTTTTGGGGCACGATCGCTTGAGTAGACTGCGATCTACCAAACGGGTTTGCTCCGATCCTTAGCAAACCAGTACCTAGATTGCTCGACACCAAATTTGTGTATTTTGAGAATATCTTTTTGTGCAAGTGTGGTGTTGTCATAATTTTTTAATCGAAGTCTGATATTTTGAGGCGAAATTAATCCAAATTAAATTGACATACCGGTTCAACGATGAAGCGGCGGAATTGGGATGGCTCTTGTTGAGTCTCTAAGCTGATGATGTCTTTGTTGCCGGTTGAGGACGAGAGGTCGGAGAATTTGGTCTTCTGATGAGAGACCACCTTGTAAGGGCCGATTAACTCAGCGGAAGGGTCCCTACACCTGTAGCGACGCTTCCTAGAGGCGAGTGGGGGATTCATCACGATGTGCCTGGAAGTGAGTCCAATTTCCGAGTTGTTGTTAGTAATGGTAACGGAGGTGGTCCTGGCGGGAACGAGATCGCAATCGACGACTGGTTGGTACATGGGGACATCATTTCCTTGAACGGATTTGAATAAGTCCCTGCAAAAAAAAAAAAAAAGAATGAGAATAAGGACAAGATGGAGCTATAAAGGATGAACAGAGGATGGAAGCAGAGCAGGGGATTGTCGTACCTGCTGTTGTTGGCGTTGTTGTTAAGGAGAGAATGAGAACGAGAAGGGAAAAGGGCAATTGGAGGAGGTTGGATCGCCATGTTTAAAAGATTTGAGAGGCTTCTACGAGGTTGTGGTAACGAACAAGACAAAGGTGATGTATTTGGTCTTCAATAGCAGAGTGAAAAAAGATAGGGAAGATACGGACATGAATATATATAATGTGTAGAGAAGCATGCAAGAATAGCAGGGATGAAGGTAGAGAAAGGAAGTCAAAAGAGTAATACATAGAAAGAAAGTGATTTAATAAGAGAGAGGATTGAAGGAAAGAATTATAAAGATAACTAATTAATTAATTGATATTTTATAACACAATATAATAAATTAAAAAGAAAAGGTTGCACTTTCTTACTAAATAATTGTAAGAAAAAAGTTACTTTCTTTTTGGGTATTTTACTTTTTCATGAGGTTACCATAAAATCATACTTTTTGCAGAATTTGTGAGAGGAAATAAGGAAAGACCATGTTGCTGATTTTCTTCCTTATATATTTGTGTTGTATGTTACATTCCAACTGTTATAATAAATCACATAGACCAAGTAAGTGAAATGATGAAATAGAAAAATTAATTCTTATTTTTTTTCCACGTCATCTAGTTAACGATCAAACTTTATAGTTGAGTGGCACATAGTACAAATTTAACGGAGTGTGACGGTCATTGACTAACGGTGAAACAATTCGTAAAGTTAGTGGCGAATAAGAAAGAAAAGTAATTCGAATAGCAAACGTGAAAGATTTGTATAATTTGAGTGACCAAACGTGTAATTTAGCCTTTTATTTGACCATTCAATCGTCCATTTTTTTATCTAGTACCACACGATTTTTTTTAGTGCATCTTTGTACCCTCCTTGTTGAGCACTGATGGGTGCACGTGTTCTGACCGTCTAGGTCATTAACTAATTTTGGTCATTATTATTATTATTATTATTATTGTTTATTTGAATATTCTTTTGGTTATTATTTCTTGTTAAGGAAGTTATTGTTTAGGAGTTGGTCTATGATTAGTTTACCTTGTTCGAGAGGGAAAGGGTTTGTAGGATTATTCCTATAAATATGTACTTTGTCTCTACGTTTTAATCAGTCAAAGAAGAATAAACCAGTATTTTCAGTTTCTTTTAGTTTTAGTTCGTACGATTACACGATGGACGAAACGATCATCCATCAATTGGTATCAGAGCCTGGTTCGAAAGAATCGAGCTCTTACCGGCTCCCAGGGCAGACATCGTCGACGTTCCACCACCAACGTCGGGAAGAGGTCCTGCGCGCAACCATGCTCTGCAACGACAAGGTGGACGGATCGCCTACCGAGGCGCCACCAACGAAGAAGCTAACTGTAGCTTCGCCATCATCGACCGCAGCCGCAGTCAAGGAGGGAGTTTCCGCAGGCAAATCCGCGAGATGAATAAGCGCATCGACGAGCATGATCAATAGTTGCGCGAGTCAGCAGCGGAGCGGGGTCAGCTCCGATCCGACATCCAACTTCTCAAGGACGGACACAATGGCCTCCAAGTCAAAGTTCAGCAGTTCCTCAAGGAGGTGCAGCAGGGTATAGAGCGCATGGGCGACGAGATACGGAAGGAGTGGCGACGAGGCCTCGAACAGGTGGGGAACTCACTGCGAAAGGATCAGCAGGCGTTCCTACGACGGATCGAGGAACTTCTCGTACGTAGGTACGGGTGGGCTGGATAGGGGAGCAGCGAGGGTTCCGAACCCAACTCAGAATCGTACGACGGTGACGATTCGAGTGATGAAGACAGCGGAGGAGAGATGGGGATGCGCACGGTGGGGATAACGCCGAACTGCCGGTTCGAACAGCTGACACTACCAGCAACGGGAGGGGCGCGATGAAAACTCGCCGTCGAAGCAGGTGGGGAACGAGTCGGTCAGCTAGGGTTTGGCATGGGGGAATCAGCTCCCTTGCGTCCTGAGTTCGGGTTCCGATTCGATGGAGGGTTGGGCCGCGATCAAAAGGCCAGACATGGCGCACATCGAAACGGACTCGGGGTACGTATAGGAGGACTCACGCATGGGCTCTTATACGGAGTGGGCTCGAGCGTGGGTCGTGGGGTGGAAGGGCGTTGGTCGAGTGGCCAACGGGGTCGGAGGAAAATAGTAGTGGTGCTGCTAAGAGTTTCGGAGCTGGCGCGGTTCAAGTTCACGAGACTATTGTCTCTACGTTTTAATCAGTCAAAGAAGAATAAACCAGTATTTTCAGTTTCTTTTAGTTTTAGTTCGTACGATTACACGATGGACGAAACGATCGTCCATCAAGCACGTTTAATTTTAATGTTCTTACAAGCATTTCACACAAAAATTAAATGTATCTTGTGAGTTAAGAATGATTTTTCTTTATGACCTACAATTCTCTCCCGTGTTATGCCAATGTGGAATTCCAATAATGTGTTAGATTATACGTACTTTTGGAACTCAACGTCCTTATTAAGAATTATTCTTTATGATCTATGAATCTCTCTCGTGTTATGTCAATGAGAATTTTTTTATTTTATTTTGCATAACTTATCAAGATCTAAAATTTTTACTAAGATAGTAAAAAAAATTCACTACGATCGGATAATTGAGCGCAAAGTTCGTTGGGGTTAGCTGCAAACCATGTTGAGTTTCGGGTTGTTCGTTTGTCTCGACCGCGATCTGGGCTCTTCGGATGTGGATCGCTCCATTGTCAAGAAAACTGCTTCTTGGTTCGCTATACTCTGGAGCGAACTGCACGAAACTTAGGCATTTTGATTTTTTTTTTGTAGTGGTGTATTATGATAATTTATTTTCCGGACTCTTACAAACCAAATCTCTTAATAGGTTGATTTCTCTAAATCAATTTTTAGTTAAAAATTGGCTAAATCAAGTGAGCCAAAACCAAATAAAAAATTCAAGTTCAACACAATTTGAGATCTGATTAACCAACATAGAATCAAAAAGGGGATTTGGAGGAAAGCAATTGAAATAACCTGCCTGGAGGGGCGACGATTGTGACAAAGACGGTAGGAGCGACGATTGCGGCGGAGGACGAAAGGAACGAAGTGTTGCTGCTCCAGGGAAGAAGAAGAAGAAGAAGAAATGGGGAGACGATGTTGTTCTTTGTTCTGTACAAAGAAGGCGAAGAATAGGATGGTGCAGTAGGTGTAACACCTTAAGCAAATCCCACATCGACAAAGCACGGGAGAGATCCATGGTTCATAAGTAAAAAACCGGCCTTAACTGACAAAACGCGCTTTGGAGTGAAATGGAGGAGTACTTGTGAGAACTACGAAGTTAAACGTGGTCAATGTGAAGTACAATAAGGATGGGTGACCTTATGGGAAGTCACCTTGAATTGCACCCTAAGGAAGAAACCGTGAGTGTTGAGGCCCAAAGCGGATAATATCTTCGTCGGAAAAAGGTTTGAGGTGTTACAGTAGGTCTCTATTAAAGATTGCTTTATTGATTGTTTTTTTTTTTTTGCTTGAACACCAAAAAAAGGTATCATTTTGGTGCTTGATCAAAACACACATCTGTCGATTTTATCTTGGAAATGGGTTTTGAATTTGTAATTCAAGCATCGTAGAATAGGCCCACAGACCCATGGTACTCAAGCTTGGGGGAGAAACGAAAAGATGAATCAGAAATTATGCTCAATGCTCTGATAACCGTCTCCCAGTATAGACTATAGATTCAGGGGTCGTTTGAATGGGTCAAAATGATGAGACAATCTGCCCCAATTGCCTCAAAATGAGACAATTGGACAATTGGGCCAAATTGTCTCGTTTGGCCACAAAATGTATGAATGAGTCAATTGTATACATGAGGAAATTGAGATTGCTTCAATATGGATCAATTTCAATCATTGATTTTTTCTTTCTTTCTTGAACACAAAAAAAGGTATCGTTTTGGTGCTTGATCAAAATACACATCTGTCGATTTTATGTTGGAAATGGGTTTTGAATTTGTAAATCCAAGCATCGTACAAAAGTCCCACATGCCCATGGTACTCAAGCCCGGGGGGAAACGAAAAGACAATCGGAAATTTTGCTCAATGCTCTGATAACCGTTTCCCAGTATAGACTATAGATTCAGGGGTCGTTTAGATGGATCAAAGTGATGAGACAATCTGCCCCAATTGCCTCAAAATGAGATAATTTGACAATTGGGTCAAATTGTCTCGTTTGGCCACAAAATGTATGAATGAGTCAATTGTACATGAGGAAATTGAGATTGCTTCAATATGGATCAATTTCAATTACTTGGGTAGGGGGGAGGTAATCTACATTGACTCATTTTTTCTAGCCTTTTCCTTAATATGACCCCACTTTCTTTCCTTTTTCATTTCTTCTTATCTTTCCCAATATGTTGCGAAGCATTGGAGAGGGAAATATTTTCTAGCAGCGAGCATATCTTTTTCGGTGACGAGCAGATGGAGATAGAAATCACTGATCCTTTCCTATCTCTTTTTATTTTTCTTTTCTTGGTGATGGAGGGGGAAATCACCCGCAACGAGCAGATACAGAGGGAAATTAAAGATTTGGCTTGCGAAGAGGGAAAAATTGAAATGGGTTCTGCATGTGGGTCGTTCGTGGGTCGCCGTGGTTGATTGAGCAGCAGTCCTTGGGAGACTCATCCAGCTGTCGTCGTCAATTAGTTTACAGCAGAGATTTGGATCCATTGCCGCTTTTCCTTGTTAGTACCTTTGCCTCCACTGAAATAGAGTGTGGTGACGGTGGTGCAGACCCTTCATTCCGTTAATGGAGATATGGATCTGCCTCCCGCTTGTCCTCGTCGGTAGCTTTGCCTCCACTGAAACATAATCAGCCGACGAGATTCGTTAGTGTTCTAATTCGACCAACGGAGTTTGTAGCTTTTCCTCTGAATGCTATGTTTGATATTGATTTGTTGTTCTAATTGCAACTTTAATTTCTGATATTGATTTTTTTTTTGTTTATTACCAATTATGATTTGAGTGTTCGTCTTTCTTGGCCTGTATATAAGCGCTGGTTACAAAGAGAGCAAAAGAGGAAGATGAAGAAAGAGGGTAAAAAGATGAGGGAAAATGTGTACTTTCATAAAATGTCTCATTGTAATTGTCTCGTATCAAATAACAAGCCAAACAAGACAATTGTGTACACATTTCTCATACAATTGTCTTATTTTCTAAGATGGGGCATTTGTCCCTAATTACCTCATTTTGGAAATGTTCCATCCAAATGACCCCTCAATTAGGCTCTCCTCGGTCATACCTGCCTGACCCGGCAGACAGCAGCCGCCAGCCAGCGTGCCATTGTTCGAAGGGTTTAGAAAGAGCAGTCAGCCAGAGCCAATCTCTCTCGGCAACTATCTCCTTCAGATGAAGTTTCAAGTCGCGCCATGAGAACCAGGTCATCCCTCTGACATCCAAGAACTCCTACGGCTCCTACTCTACCTCCTCCTCCTAAGAACACTCCGTCATAGTGTGCAACCGGGATCGCCAGAATCGTAGTGGCACAAGTCTGCCAATCGGTCGGGTTCAAGTCGGCGAAAACCCCGACCCTAAAAACCCTAACCCACATATCCGTTCTCTACTTGAAAACCCTAGCCAAGGCAGCAACGTCGTACTCCAACGACTGCAATCGCATACAATTGAATGTGCTCGACGTCATCAATACACTCCACAACTTCGGATCGACGGAGGGATTCACCGGGGCGTCCGAGCTCCATGGCTGCTGTCGACTAAGATCCAGCGCGATGAAGGACGCTGATCATTTCTTGAATACTATGGACGAGGTCCCCTTTGCTAAGCCCCCTCTCGAGGGCCAACGGTTCAAATTCGTCTCACGTGTCGGGGGTTTCGGGTGTGCAGCTGAGGGGAAATCATATTCCTGAGTGGTTGCCGGATTTTCCTGAGGAGAGCACGTATATGAAGGAGGGTCTTGAGGAAAAAGTGGAGTTGGCATTGTGGGAGAGGTCAGCTACCGACAGAGAAGGAGATGGAAAGGGAGTTGGTGAGACAACCGGCGAAGGTAGTGGAGGAGAGTTGAGAAGTAAGAGGGGAAGAATGAAGTTCCATATATGCGGAAGAGGAGAAACAACCGTCATGGCGAAGAAGAAGAGAAGAAAGCATATTCCGCAGTGGTTGCCTGATTACCCCGAGGATAGCACATACAGGAAGGAGGGTTTTGAGGAAAAATTGGAGGGTAGCAAAGTGAATTTGGCATTGTGGGAGAGTTTCCCGCCGGAGGAGACGGAAAGAGAGTTGGTGAGACAACTGGCGATGGGAGTTGTAGGGAGTTGAGAGGTGAGAGGGAAAGAGTGAAGTTCCATATGCGCATAAGAGAAGAAACAATCCTCATGGCGAAGAAGAGAAGAAGAATGGATACTATCGACGTGAGAGGGAAAGAGTGAAGTTCTAGATACGCAAAAGGGAAGAAACAACCCCCATGGTGAAGAAGAAGAAGAAGAAGAGAAGAGCAATGGATGCCATCAACGTGATCACCTTCGCGAAGCCCATCCCGAGAGCGAACATCTCAAACGTGCCGGGTTTGGGTGTGCAGCTGAGGGTTAAACATATTTCGGAGTGGTTGCGGGACTTTCCTGAGGAGAGCATGTTTAGGAAGGAGAGTTTTGAGGGAAAAGTGGACGGATGGAAAGTGGAGTTGGCATTGTGGGAGAGGTCACTTACCAGCGAAAGAAACAGAGAGAGAAGTGGTGAGACAACTAGCAAAAGGAGTGGAGAAGAGTTGAGAAGTGAGAGGGAAAGAGTGAAGTTCCATACCCTCATGCCGAAGAAGAGAAGAACAATGGAAAGGTGACGATCAGAGAACCCAACTGCGTACTGGAATCAAGGTTTCGAACCATGGATGTTAGATAATGCAACTGCTAGTCCTAGACCACTGTGCTACACACTATTGAAACCTTGTTCTCTGTTTCTCTTAGTTATCGGAGTGCTTAAATGCCTACCCTGACCAGCACCTCTGCGCTTGCCTTCTCAGGAGGCTATTATTCTTCTATGGGATCTTATTAAATCATTAAATACAGTGTCTTTAAACTGAAAGTTTTACTAGCGTCACCACTACGACTACTGGATATTCTGCAAATCTAGTTCGGCAGATGTTCGTCATCGCGAATTCACATCAAATGAGAGGGCCAAATACTATACTTACTCTCAAAAAGCCATTGTAGCAATCAATATATGTAGAGGACAGACATAGTAGATTACACGGATTTCATTCACAGGCACAAAGTTCATCCTCCTATGCAATTTCACGAAAACTTCTAAAACTCTTACTAGACAAAAAAGGTGACAACAAAATATATTTCGTAGTAGTACGTCTTTAATAATAGCTCTCACCACCCAAAGCAAGGATGACAACGAATGAAAACGGGTCTCCGAATCCATCAACTCCACATTTTTATTTTTCCCCACATTTGAAACCTCTGCAGACTGAGAGTACGATGATGAGGATCAATGCGACGAGGATACCCAGAACAATGAGCTTGATCTTCATATTCTGCAGCCACATCTTTCTCCTGATTTTCGTTCCAGTCGATCGGAAGTCTTGAGCCTGCAAGTACAAAATTTTGTCGCATATATTAGAATAAGAATTGAGAACCCCTTTCCTCTGTTGTGGCACGTCCAGCACAAACATGACCACTGGGGTGATTCTGTACTTAAAAACAAATACCACAAACACACATCCCACCACCAACAAAGCAAGCAGAGTTACTTGTGACATTCATATCCCAGAGCCAGTGTATGTATCATGCAGGCTCAATAAGTTGCATATATTGACAGCATTGAGTCTTGTGAACATATGAAGCTAACATTTTTCCATATGTAAAATGGAAGTACCGTAGAAGCCTTAGGAACAAACTGCTATGTAGTAGTAGAGTATCAGTGTACCACTCACCTGCTGATGGAGATTCTCAGTTTTGTCCACCAGAAGTTCTATCTTTTCTCCCCTGTCCAAGACCTACATAAAATAAGAGAATTTCAGCTATTTGTGGGGATATCGTATTTGACAGAACAAAAGCATGCGCGTTGCCGGAACACAATCCCAATGGAAGTCAGCCTCACTGTTTCAGAAATTAGTACCAAAACTAGATTAAGTAAATTGGCATGATGCACTCTCTGGATCATTCATGTATGCAAACGAACTCACAATAGGGACGAGTTGAGCAAGAAGGACTATAATTTGGCCAAATGTTCATAAGGCCACATACTGAACATATTTAATTTTGATTGTCCGAGGAGGAAACACTAAGTAATTTGAAGATTTCAATCACAAATCCAGAAATACATCAAGCAAAAAAGAACAAACCCAGAAACAACAGTAAAAATACATCAGTGAACTAGAAGTTTCTAATGAAACTGCTTAAGCAAACAGAAACATCTTCCAAATGGAACAGCCATAACATGGAGGGGCAGGGAGGTTTTGATAACACTCAGCTGGGGACATCCACAACAATGGTGTGGACAGGGTGGTTTACGACACTCATTGATACTCAACCTATACCTATGGCAATATCAGCATTGATCTCATTATAATGCACATATGTATACACGATAAGAAATTGGAGCATCTGGTAAACAACTAACAGTTCATTCCCATGTAGCAGGAGCTACACTACACATTCACAAGACAGCTGTCAAAAGGAACACGAAACATGGTATATTCATGAGCATGAAGACACAGAGAAGTATGAACATTTTACATCCACATTTACTCTGGTAATCTGGTACTAATAACAGACGCACTGGTGATCTTTGTTAAACCAAGATCAGAAAGATGATTCACCGTACCTTTTCAATGTTCTCCATCATAACTCCTTTCACTTCTGAAACCTGAGCTTTAACCTTTGCAAGCTTGCTTATCTCTTCAGGATGATCCACACAGTACTGCATATGCTCTTTCAGTTTCGGCCTAAAAATACGCAAGGGTTTTTGTTACAGTCAAGAACTTGTAAGAATAGAATAATTAATTATTCCACCAATCTGAAAGATCGGATTACCCAAATTCCTTGTTCAGGCTATTGGCAGCAGCAGTTGAAGCCTTCCCGCCACCATATTTGGACATGAAATCTTCCTTGATACGCTCCAGAAAAGCCATGGGGACCTGCCTTCCAGCTGATTCATCGGCAACGACACAGTACGCTGCAAAGTAGAATACGAAGTCAGTACGCCGCCACATCATAGAGGAGATACATACAACTAGAAATGAAAACAGCACCGACTAAGATCTGCGATCCACTTCAAGATTGATTCATCTCCCTCCTGGATATCGATTCTACTCAATCAAAAAAACAATACGGCCAAGCAGATCCTGATCAACAACTAAATCCTTCTAATTAGACTTACTTGGCGGAATGACACTAAACAGTCAAAATTGGCGCCGACTAACTCCATTACAGAAAAAGGAACGAACAGAAACGAGCGAGGAGGAGAAGAGAAGGAACTCACTGTAGCCATTATCGACGAGATAGTTGAAAGTGTGGCCGTCGCAGTTGTAGGTGAACTTGTTGTTGGTAGCGGGGAGTTTCTGGAGGCACTGGAAGGCTATGGAGTTGAAATTGCCGCTGAATTCGGTGTACTCGGCGAGAACCACAGTCCCGCGGGAGACGAAGGAGTAGATCAGAGTTTTCTGCGCCATTTCCGGCGGGATAGGGAGGCGGATACGGTGAAGGCAGCGAGAGATCTGAGATTTCTATGGGAGCTTCGGCCGTGTCGTTGCTGTTACGTTTGCTGAAAAGCCACTCTCTGTCTATCTATCTCTCCGTCTCTTTCTAAAATCAGTCTACACGACGACTAGACACCGCACCACACGGAAAACCGTACCACCGGCCTCTCTCTGCTTTTCTCCGGTTGCTGGAAAGGGAGGAGAGAGAGAGACTTTTGGAAGGGAGGTGGGGGGAAAGGCAAAGGGAAAGAAAGGAAGGGACGAGAACGGGGGTGGGAGGTTTAAACGGTGAAAAAGAGAGAGACGAAACAAAGCGGAAGCGTAGATGAAGGTTGTCAACCCGCGGGTTGATCCGCGAGTCGACTTAGTTTGACTCTGACCCGGTGAGAAAAACGGGCCGCACGCACCCGTCGGGTCGACCGCTATAAGATACCGGGTTGGAGGTCAAATTGTGTCATTTTTTTTCTTTGATTTGCGAAATGCGCCTATTTCCCGATTTTTCTTTTCGCCCAACTCAATCTTTGGAATCCTAAGTTGAACATTTGAATATTTATGTTAGGGTAAATGACACATTTGGTCACTGAGATTACTAAATCGTGTCATACTTAGTCACTAGAAAAATTTAATATCAATTTTGGTCACTCGAATTACTGAAACAGGTCACATTTGGTCACTCTTCTGTAGCCTCTGTCCAACTCCGGTCACTCGAATTATTGAAAAATCTCACATTTAGTCACTCAGATTACTGAAACATGTCACATTTAGTCACTCTCCCAAAAGTTTCCATCCAACTACATTAATGGAGTTGGACGGAAACTGACGGGAGAGTGACTAAATTTGACCAGTTTCGGTAATTCGAGTGACCAAAATTGATATTACTTTTTTTTAGTGACTAAACATGACACAATTTAATAATCTCAGTGACCAAATGTGTCATTTAACCCATTTATGTTATATAAGTGTGTGTGAATTTTCATTATATGTTAGATCTAAGTACGATATGTTATTTTGATGTAATATTATATGTTATAACTCATATGTTAGATAAGATTTGATATAATTTATGAGGATAAGTACAATATAATGGCTTTTTCATATTTCCGGGCCAAACCGGGCTAAAACGCTTGACCCATTAACCCTTGACCCACTAGCTCGACCGGGTCCGGGTCAACCCGCGGGTTGACAACCTTGCGTAGATCAAAAGAGAAGAGTCGGCGGGGGTTAATTCCCAAAATATTGTGTTTTTTTTTTAATTTACCAGCAATATGGTGGTTTTAAATTTATTTACACAGATATTGTGTTTTTTGGGGAAAGAGGTGCGGGCTCGCAGGAGTCTCAAGTTTTTGGGGAAAGAGGTGCGGACCCGCATGGGACTGCTACGAATTCGCATAAGAGGAAGGAACCCGCAGCGGACTCCTGCGGGTTCGCGTAAAGAAGAATCTTCTTATCTTCTTCTCCACCCCTTTCATCCGCAGCGCCTTTCTTCCTCCTCCCAGAACCATCGCCGCCCCGCCCCCAACCCCCCCACTCCCCATCGCCGCCCCGCCACGCCCTGCTCGTCGACCGCCACAAAACCCACATTTCCAAGGCGGATTCGCACCGGACTAGCGCGGATTCGGCCGAGAGTCACGCGGAAGCGCACCAGAAAAGAGACGCCGAACAAAACCAGATCTGTTTTTCTGGTTTTGATGTCGGACTCCGACGAAGAACAGGCGGCCGCCGGAGGAAGAGGCCGTGGAAGAGGACAGCAAACACGCGGGCGGTACCGAAGTGAGCATCGGTTGGAAAGTCGCCGCCGGTCACCGGAGTGTCGCCGCCGGCGACCGGAAAGTCGCTGACGGCGGGTTTTTATTTTCTGCTTCTAATTTTTTTTTTCCAGTTCCTAGGATTCTTGACAGGCATTCTACGAGACGACCACCTGCGACGATAGATATAGCTCCGGTCGATTCAGTACTCCTTTGGGCACATGGTCAACATCGTGCCGACTCAGTTTGGATTAACGATGTAAGTATTTTATGTATTTTATTTCATTAAAGTTCATTAGCTAATTAGATTAGAATATTGTGAAATTAGTATTAGTTTGATTATATATATTTTACTAAATTAGATTGATTTACTAGGTCAACTGAAATATTAAAATTGCATGTGAAATTTTGTGAAATTATTATTAGTTTTAGATTTTGTGAAATTAGTATTAGTTTGATTAGATATATTTTACTAAATTAGATTGATTTTACTAGGTAAATTGAAATATTATAATTGCATGTGAAATTAGTATTAGTTTTCATTACATATATTTTTAGTAAATTAGATAGATTTTACAATATGTTCTGAAAATAGAATTATGCCATGAAATTGAATTAATATAAGTTTTGTGCACTATAGGCTGGTGATCGTGTTTACCAGACTCGCGGTACGACCAAATTGGTCACGTACCATCCACGTTATGAGCCGTATCTTCAGGATGCCAGTTTGTTTAGCATTCAGCAGTTGGTCCCTATGACTGGTTGTATAGATGCATCTTTGATCACCGCTCTAGTAGAGCGTTGGCGTCCTGAGACATCGACCTTTCACATGCCGGTCGGTGAGGTTACGATCACTCTTGAGGACGTTGCCACACTGAGCGGTTTACCGATTGACGGTGAGGCCGTCATAGTAGACGTACCAGATCGTGAGTGGTCGGAGACGTGTACCAGACTGTTAGGACATGCTCCTAACGATCTTAGCGGGGGTGTCGTTAAGCTTAGTTGGCTTAGGGAGCATTTCAACAATCTGCCGCCAAATGCATCAGCAGAGATTACAAGGCAGTTTGCACGAGCGTATGCCCTATCTTTGATTGGGTTTATGTTGTTCCCCGATCGGACTGGAGCTACAGTTCACCTGCAGTATCTACTCCTATTGGAGAATTGGCGGACCGCAGGAGGCTACGCTTGGGGAGCAGCTGTTCTAGCCTACCTGTACCGTGAGATGGGTAGGTCGGTTCTGCATCTGACGCAGTCCTCTTCCACCGGAGGTGACCTTGGTGGCTGGGTCGCCTTGCTGCAGCTCTGGGCGTGGGAGCGATTCCCATTGATAGCACCCCGACATACAGTGACGGATGAGCCTATTACAGCGGACGCATCTCCACGTGGTGCTCGATGGCTTCCGGCCATGACCCGTCAGCATGGTGACCAGCTCTTCAGTTATAAGTTGTTTTTTGACGAGCTGGAGACAATCGTGGTTAGTAATAACATTTCAAAACCAGAATAATTTTTGGTTCACATTAGTTTGTTTTAGACTAAGATGTAATAATGTGCCCACCTTTCTGTGTAGTGGCTGCCTTACTGGGAGAGAGACCTGCAGTTTAGGGGTTCCGTTCCCTCAGTCAGATACCTTCCGAGCTGTGGTTCCACTGATATGCTTTTCAGTAGTGATGTGGCACCATCCAGATCGGGTACTCCGACAGTTTGGCATGATGCAGAACGAGCCTCATCACCCAGCTCCTGAGGCTGAGATTAGGTGGTTTCTTCGCCAGACAGCTCGTGGGCCATCGCGAGGGCAGCGATTGATGCACGCCAACAGAGGGTCGATTGATTTGTGGAGTCGTCGACATGAGTATATAGCGACTAGGCCATATACTCAAGAGACTCTAGCCTACCACTCGGAGCATCTCGAGTGGTATCGAGATGTTACTAGACGTGCAGTCACACGGAGAGCAGCCGGAATTAATGCAGCGGTTAGTAATTTATTATTTGAAAATAAAATTTTTAGTGAATTGAATAAATTCTTAGTTTGATATATTAAATAAATTTGCAGTATGACACATTTGAGTACGCTGAGCTGAGATTACGGGAAGGAGAGTTGTCCACAGACGATAGGATGGAGTTGGCCGACATGATGGTGGCCGGGGTTGCTTCTCTAGGTTTGGATTCTCGCCGACATCATGATATGACGGTACTGGTGCAGCCACAGTCATCTGATCCTAGCGTTAACCCATGGCCAGATCGTACTGCTCAGAGACATGAGTGGGACGTGCGAGGCCCACAGCTCACAGAGGAGCCCAGGAGGCGTAGACAGCGACGTGAGCACCGCGACGTACCTCACCCAGTCCGGATTTCAGATCGTCAGTGAGCACGTCCTGTCCGGCCTACTACTACCTTCGACTTCATGCGGCAGTTTCAGCCCTCCTCTGCTGCGGGATTTCAGCCTACTCAGACCGAGTTTCAGCCCTCCCATGCGCAGTTTCATGGGGAGTGTTCTTATGGGTTTCACCTTACTTAGACTCAGGCCCAGTTTTAGCATACTCAGACTCAGTTTCAGCCTACCCAGACGCAGTTTCACCCCTGACAGCACCAGTCTCAGCCCTCCCAGACGCAGTTCCAGCCCTCACAACACTAGTCTCAGCCCTCCCAGACGCAGTTTCAGACTTCAGGATTTCAGCCATCACTCGATAGCTTTCATACACCGCCACAGCATGTTATGATGGGTGGCGGATACACATCCTCACCCAGAGCAGCATCACCGAGACCATCCTCACCCTACAGATGGAGAGACACCATAGATGGGGACGATATTTTTTTGGACCAGATGTGGCATCCTCAGTCTCAGACAGCTGCACCAGACGAGCATCCCCAATCTCAGATAGATGGTTTGTTCGGTACACAGGATCAGGATGACAGTGATCAGTCTCAGCACGATCAGGACAGGCCAGTACGGGACAAACATGCACCGTTGTGTGGTACTGGCGGTCATCTTGTGGATCCTCTTGGTGGTGGTCGTCGTGGTGGTCGTCGTGGTGGAGGTCGTTAGTATTATTATGAATGATGGTGGACTATTTATTTCATGTCATGTAGGATTATTATGTATGATGGTGGACTATTTATTTCATGTCATGTATGATTATTATGTATTATGGTGGTCTAACATCAAACCATAACACCATCAACCCATTACATATACGTCGAATAACAATAACAAACATCAAACAATTACACACTCGCACGTTCAAACCATAACAACATCAACCCATTACATATACGTCGAAAAACAATAACAAACATCAAACAATTACATACCACGTCTATTACCACTATTTCCTCTTCTACTACATCTCGCACGTCTACCACTTCCTCTTCGTTGCCTCTCACTGCCACTTGCTCCTCCACCAGAAGTTGATGCATCATGTCCACCTAGTTCCTCTCTTGGCCAATCCATCTCGTTGTGAATTCTTGTTGTTCGTGGCCTCACCGGTTTCCTAATCATGTGCACGTTAGGATGGAGAGTAGAATCATTGTGATTCTTCCACCCCTTAGGTTCACCAAGAGGTGTGAAACTTGTCCCATAACAAGCCA